CGGCCCGGGGGCCCCTCGGGGCGCCCCGCAGGCCGCGCGCGCCGAGCCCGCCCCCCGCCCCGGGCGCGCGCTCCCGAGCCCGCCGCCCGCCCGCGGGCTCAGTCTCTCGGGGGCGAGGCCGGAAGGGGGACCCCGGGGCGCCATTCGGCCGGGCGGGGGCCCAAAATGGGTCCGGGGGCCGTGGCGACGCGGGCGCGGGTCCCCCTCCCCTGGCCGCTCGCTCTCTGTCTCTCTCTCGCCCTCCCCCTCGCTCTTCTTTCTCTCTTTTTCCGCGAGGCCTACACGACGCCAGGGGTTCGGGTGCGTGTTGGGGAGGGGGAGGGGGAGTCCCACAGGGCTCGGGAGACTGCGACAAAAAGAGGGTTTCGGGGACAGGAAATGGGGTGGCGGGCCGAGGGAGGGGGACCCGCCTCCGTTGGGTGTGTGATTTGTTGGGAGAGGGGAGAAAGCGAGAGGGGCCGGCGGAGAAGGGGGTGACGTGGGGGGGGGCGCCGCGGTGGCGGAGGGGGCCTCGTCGAGGGGAGAGGTTCGGCGGGAGAAGTGGCTGAGGAGAGTGGGGGCGGGTGACATCAGCCCCTCGGAAGGGCTCGGAGTGGTAAAGGTGGTGCAGCGAGGGGGAGGGGGCGCGGGCGAGTCGTGGCGCCGGAGTGGGGGGGCGGGCGGAGGAGGGAGCGCGGCGGCCGCTGGGCGCGACTTGGTGCGTTGCGGGCAGGACACACTGTGTGCGCGGAGCAGACGTGTCCCGGGCCGGGCCGTGGAAGGAAGAGAAGGAGAATCGAATAAAATAAGGCCGAAAAAAAAAAAAAATGGAGTTAGTACTCTAAGTGCCCAGTGAAGCCAAATGACACGTCATTTTACAGTATGACCTTTTTTCCCCTTCCAGATATGCAGGCTCTTTGAAAAGCAAAGAAGAGAATTAACTGTAGCAGCTGCCGCCCCCCCAAACCATTAACACACACACACACACACTTTCCTGTTAGTCGGCCACATTGAGAGTGCTTTGTGAAAAAAATGGAAAGAAAAAAAAAAAGACATGCACAGATCAGAACTGGAAAATGACATTTGTCTGTAAATGGCTTCTTGGTCTGGAAATGGCGTGGTTTTTTTTGTCCTTTTCAAGGTGGGAGGGGGATTGAGAATTCTTTAAGGAAAAGACTTTTTTTCCAGGTGGAAGGAGATGAGACTACGTTAGTTGTTTGTCAAGTGACATTTGGTTGTTTGGTTTGGGGTTTTCTCTTTTGATTGCGGTTTTTCCTCTTTGGCCAAAAAAAAAAAAAAAAAAAACGCGGGTGGGGGTGTGTGTGAACTCTAAGGAGATGGCCTTTTCCCCTTTTGTCTTAAAGGTGCTGCTTTGGGAAAATAAATCAAACAAAAGCATAAAAGAAATTGTTGAAATAACCAGAAGAATTACACAAGCATTAATTAGTATGGAAGTTTTCCACTTCCTTAGTAATTTGGCTATCTGAGTTAATTTGTGAATTTGCTAGGTTAAGACCTAGTTCATGGTCACATATCAACAGAACAGCTTGATTATGAAGAATAAAATGTAAAGGGCTGTTTTTTCTTTGTGGTGGCGTCTGCTTTGCTTTTTTTTTTTTGGATGGGTCACGTCTTTGTTCTCCTGGGTCCAGATTTATGTAAAGCAGAAAATTATTAAGTGAAAATAAGTCCCTTTGGTGTGTGT